AGTACATTGTCCTTTTTAAGGCAGCCACGCCTTCTATTGCCTATCACATAACTTTGAGAAAAGACAATTTAACCTGATTTTCTAGTTTTAATGAGTTCAGGGTATAAAATGTAACACATTTTATTGCATTTAAATTTGCATTTATTCGTCAAAATGGCCGACACACAGCTGCCCTCTGGCGGGCAAATTGTGCAGCTCAGCAAAGCTTTCAGTTAAAAAGCTCACCAGCGAAAACTTTAGGGAGTAAGGCACTTGGTGAGCTTTTTTGCACTTCTTAATAGTAATATTGTTGTTTTGCTCTTTTTTTTTCGTTGTATGATTTTAACTTAAACTTAAAAAAAAAAAACAATTGTTGCAATTTTACATAAATTTACTTAGGAAAGACGTTTGGGCACGACAAGAATCCAAATCACTTATGAACTACACTTCTTCGACGACTTCCGTGGGTTTTGTGGCATCGACGACCTCGTTCAGTTCCGCTACGTCATTAACGGGCGTCTTCTTGATCTATGGAAATCATAATGCGAGCTTTGAGATAATACTGCTTAGCTGATTTTCCATTAGCTGAATGCATTTAGTACTTATCGGAACATGCAATTAGAGGTCGTAGCACACATGCAGTTTTGCAGCTGCCTTTTCATGCTTTATCATGCACTTACATACGTAACAGTGTTTATATATATCTTGATCTATACATATTTAGTATATATATATACATTACATACTTAGAAAACTAAGTTAGTTCAAAATAAGATTTCTTGGGTGGACTTTACCATTACATTGATGCGGCGCATGAGAGAGATAGAGAGCTTATATACTGACAGTTTATGGATCACTTAAACTTAGACCAGAGCGAGGCGAAATTTAATTTTGTAACACCCAACATTTATATCACATACAAAATGGCCAACCATTTGCAACCATTCGGTTGCTTAATCTTTTTTGTTGAAATTTGTTCTTTGTTGAAGTTAGTTATGTAATTAGTTTCAATGACTTTTCAGGGATTTGTTATTCTTCTGGAATGTATGTTCAACGAAATCGCTGTCATATTTTCTTACTTTGAAGCAACGAATCTTAAAGTGGTCACACATTTCCGAGACCTATTGGGCAGAAAGTTGATGGAAAATGAAGATATTATATATAATGACTATGCAACGACTTCAATCTTCACTTACCACACCATAGCCATAATGCCAATGGGCCAACGTAACAAATATTGTTAAGCCATGAACGAGCCAGCGCTCACCCTGAGCTGTCAGATCCGTGCCCAGCACCTCCTCATACCAGGGAAAGCAGCAGACGCCCACGGTTGCGACCAATGGCCACATAAGTATATTGAAGCTATCGCAACGTGTATCCGACATTTGGGCCACGATCAGGCGGCACTATTTAAGATTAAGATTAAACAGCTTATAGCCTTTCCAATAGATATAATAACCAATTTCAGTAAACTTACTGCAATATTGGAAAAGATTGTGCCATAGAGTATCCACAGTATACGCGGTTCCAGGTTAATAACATTATTGCGCGAGAAGAATGACCAAACGAGCGTTATCACAAACAGCCAGAGGAAGGCGAAAAATGGACGCAACATCTCCATCATGGGACGCATTTTGCCCGTCTTATTCTTATAAGAGCTGCAAGAGTTAAGACCTTTACAATCAAGTAACAAGTTCAAGTCGAATATTAAATATTTACAGATATATATTGCGTATAATAATGGGGTGGCTGGACAGAATACCGGAGCCAATCAGGCCGACCTCGAATACATTTGCCACCGTAATGCCGTAAAAACTCGAGCGATAGATTTCAGGACCCACGATCGTGGCCACGAACAGCATTAAGCTGACGCCCTAAAATAAAGAGAGTTATTAATAGAGTTTCTTTCAGTGTTAAAATATTACTGCTATTAACAGCTTATAGTTTAGTGGTTTATATTATATTATAAAAAACAGTTTTAGTAACTATTCATAGTTAATAACAGTTTATAAGAGCCTTAGGAAATTTATGTGCTTTAAAACAGAGCATATTAATTTGAAGTGATTATAGAAGATTTTAATTTACATCTATAAAATGTTACAAATACTTTATATTAGTATAGAATTCTATTATTTGCAATGGTTCTTAACAATGTATACTTCATTTGGTGGCACTTACCCACATGGTAAAGTCGTAGCCCCAGGGCAAAAACATAACGCCCGTATTGTATTTTTCCACATGTGTGAAATAGAAATTGAGAAATACGTTCCATATAACAAAGTACATGCGTATGGGCGGCAGATCTTCGGTGCCAAATAGTGAGAATATATAGATTGGTATAAGTGCCGCCGAATAGGAGTCCAAGCCGTGGTCGAACAGCTCTCCGAGCGGACCACTCGTGCCAGTGCGACGAGCCTGTTTGCCATCCATACCATCTATAAAAAGTTTACAGCTTAAATCAACTCAGATCTCAGATCATTTTGCTTGACATACTCACCCAAATTATAGTAGATAAGTATATTTATGGCAGCCACTGTCCACACCCAGCCGGGCACTGTATTGCCCACCGACTTATCATTGGCCGCCTTAAAGTCCCAGTCGTAGTAGGCCAGCAATAAGAAGTTCACCACGGTCATGAGAAAACCCACAAAGGTGAGTAAATTGGGTGCCAACCATTTTGGTAAATACTATATAGAGAGGATCTTTAAAAATCATCGTTTTGCTTCAAATTGATGAATAGCATACCTTTACACAAGCATTCCAGAAGGGATGCATAACATAGACGCTCAGAAGGCTGGTATCTATGCTATTGTACTAGATGAGAAAGATGACAATCATGTTAAGTAATAGATCACAATTTGGTATAACTAATATATAAATAATCGATGCTCAGCAGTCTACCATTGAAATCAGAAATATTTCTATTGGATATCTGTCATAAAGCAGCCCTAAAAGAATTTCATTGAAAACAGTTTTTCTTAATCTCGGAATCAAGCTTTGATATGGGTAAACTGAAATATAACACCTGTATACGTTCAAGCTCTATTTAAACAAACAAATGGGTTTGAATCGGGAGTTCTCAACTAGGAAATACTCTGCACAATGTGCTAGAACATGGCTTGGACATGGACTTAGCTTATCATAATAGATTGATCAGATAGATTCAGCTCCAGATTAAGAGTATATATATATAAATATGCATACATGTTACATACACCATCATTCAATTATTATTAACTGACCTATAAAGAGCATCAATCTTGCTGATATAATATTAGTAACCAATCAAGAATATAATATAGACGGACACGTGTTTCAAAAATTAGGCTTACTTAAATGTCATAAACTTATTATTGGCTATATCAATATAGTAAATATAGCCAATAATATGAACTATATTGCTAATATTTATGTACATGTCTGTGTAATCTAAGATATTATATAATCATTTTGCAATCAAATCCAACTTATGACTCTACGAGTACAGCAAGCATTTTATAGAAGTGTTATTATTATATTGAGAGTTATACATATATAATATTGATTTTGCAAACGGCCATTTTTCATTTCTGTATTTATTGGTGTCACTCTCTCTCTCTCTCTCCCTCTGCTCTTTGCTGTGCCACACTCCCTCACAGTGGCTCTATTATTTATTTATAGGCTAATCTGCTGTGCAAATTCTACTCGATCTGTCAACCCGGGAACTATCTCTCTAAAGACAGCACATGCTTCATTTGTAGTTCAACGCCTTTTCTGCGGAATTTACGACACGAAACAGCAACAAAGTCCATCCGGTCGATTAAATTGATGACCTAGGCCTAGTCATGCCTAGGGCCGATTTGATAAGCCCACGAGAATGCCAATATATAGAGCACATGCTAGTTAGTGACAGTGACATTGACAGCAGCAACAAATAAATCTTCCCATTGCCCAATTCTTAGATTAATCATGCGATCCTCTCTATACTACATACGTAGACATATGTGCCATATAATCTAAATATATTTATAGCCTACTAGCCGGAACTCATCGTAAACCTGATAATAACTGATTGACTTTGTAATAAAATTGATTGAATGCTTGCGGCGCCTCTCAAATATACATGGCGCATTGATTTTTCGTATAGCTTCTGGTTGGGGCTCGTGCTGCAGGTGAGCTTCAGTTGGTATTTAGTTGTATGTTTGTAGTGTAAACCGTTTAATGCTCACCTTGTAACGCTCGAAGCCCTGCAAATGGGTTTCCGTCAAATAGCGCATGTTGGGCATATTGGTTTGTTTTGCTATATGTGTGCGCTTATATGTATGTATATAGGCTTTTTTATTGCAATGATAAGAGTCGAGCACAGTTATATTATTATTGATATAATTATGACCTTTGCCTGTGGGGTCAAATGCACGCAACGAGCTTCGATTTAAACATTTTACGAAACGGTTCGCGTTGAGAAATTTCAGCAGCTGTTTACCATCGGCACGCACTTCTCTTGGCAAGTGAAACTAATATTTCTGCTTCTTATGTTTTATTATATTTTTTTTTAAGCACAGACCATAAATTAAATAATCGTTTATATAGACACACGGGATGCCGTTCGCCTGCGGTTCCCGTTGCTCCACTTGCAATTTCTTTTGTAGCTGTTGTTGTTGTTGTTGTTGTTGTTGTTGCTGGCACGCAACACGCAAACAGCCGTTACTAATATATACAACAGTTCTTTATATATGTATGTATATACTTATATATATAGAAAAGGCGAAGCCACTTGTCAGACAATGACAACGCTCTGCGACTGCCTCGGCACTGTGTATTATCAAGACTGAAGACGAACTGCTCACTGACTGGACTGGCCGGCAGTTCGAGCGCAGCCCAAAAATATTTTTATTATTATTTTACTTTTTTCTAAATCAACTAGGAATCATACAGTCGCATGCCAACGACTGCGTTATACTCTATAAGTATGTATGTATGTATATGCAGGCTAACTAAGGCTTATAGCTGTCTGAGCTGCAGTGCGCTCTGTGTCGTTGGTAATTAAATGACGCATTGGCATAAGTGGGCATGGCTGTAAGAGAAGTTTAGCTAATACTTGAGGTATGAGAGGCAGTGATCCACATACTCTTCCATGTATAGAGCGGTGTAAAGTGTATACAAAAATCCAAGCGCTTAATTTAGAACGATTACTGCGGCTGAGCTTCGGTCGTTCGCTCTGCTTTTCACTAATCCCATTGCACACATTGTTATCGCACAGTTTGCGCCTCTCTTTAAAATCACTCACTCACACACACACACACACACCCTCGTATACAGCAAGAGCGAGTGCACGGGAGGCACACACGCACATACGCACACACGTATATGGGAATTTGCATTGAATGAATTAAAATTTGTAAAAGTCAAACAAGTGTTTGTAGTAGAAGAAGGGGATTATTGGTTATCAAGTTGTACTCTACGTTGATAGTCGCAATCTCCAGAGCAAAGTATTAGGTACATACATAGATTGCATAGCGTACAAAACCCTAAAGAAATCAAATAAAATAGAATGAATACCTCAGCATGTGACTGTGGGAACTCTGGTTAGCTTAACTAAATATAGGGCAATATTTATACACATACATATAAATATGTTTAATATATGTAGGTATTTACTTCATTATGGTTATGATTTTCAAATAGTTCAAGTTCAACTGATAACCCAAAAAAAATGAAGCCAACGGGTTGCCAAGTGATTAACAAACTGACAACACACTAAACAAAAACAAATTAATTCTATTAAAAGAAACCTCGAGGTTAGCGGAAAATCTGATTTAAGAAAATGTTATTAGGTGCAAGGAGATTTGTAAACGAAAAACGTTATTAAAAATTGAAGTTTCAGCTATAATTCATTTGGATTTGGAGGTTAGAATTGTGTTTTTGTTTAGATTTAGAGTTTTTAAAAATTTCGTTAAAGTTTTTTAAGAAACTTTTCTAATGAATGAAAAAACTACTTATTTACTTATTTAAAAAATCTAATTTTTCACAATATTTCACTGGGCTATGGTAATTGCTAAGCTCTATTAAAACATGTCAGTGTCAGTATCAGAATAAATTTGATTTTTGTTTTATATTTTCAATATCTATTTTTGATATATATATTAAGCTAAGCAAGTGTTTTTCAGTAAAGTTTCCACATTTCATTCATGAATATTTTGGAATATTTCGCAATACAGCAGTAAGAACGAACTTTAAATACAGTCATATATATAAACACATCGCTCATAATTAATTTTCAAAGACCAGCAAACAAAAACTGATAAAAATATTCCATTCTAAACAACAATTTTAACTGAAAGAACTAAAGGCCTTGGAGCTTAAATGTTTCGATTAATCACAAATGTCTATAAAATTTATTATAGAAAATTGGAGCGTTATTAATTTCCTTCTTCAAAACAGAACTCTAATCATAATACATATCTATACTAATAAGTATACTTTACTTAGTTTATATATGTATACAGATAACAGGTGCAGTCTTATCTAAATTTGGCATGACTGAAAATACAATGAAAACAACTCTATGTTTATAAATAATAATAGAGAACAGATAAGAAATATAAAATTAAAATGCAATAGATAACGTCATAGAGCTAAGGGAAAATTCTCGCTATTTCGGCCGTTTTAACTGTATGTAGGGATTACTAGTTGAGCCATCTGGATGTCTCTGTGGCAGTCAGACCTTCGGAGCGTAGTCTCTGCAGCATGGGACGATAGATGTCTGGCGTGAAGGGCAGCAAAACACCGCGTTCCTGAATCTCACCTGATATTACGAATAATATAAATAGATAATTTAGTAAAAAATACCCCTATGTAGTCTGTTGTGCATTATTTACCATCCAATATCATTTTGGCTGCAATAGCTGCTGGCTTGCCCACTGTCATGGCCATGGCCGAGTGTCCTTGGGGCTGGCCATAGACCACAAAATTAATGCCGCGCTCCTCGCGACGACCGTCGGGCCAGCGGATGCCCACCTCGTGACGCAGAATGACCAAATCACGCTCGTCACGCTCTGCAAAGGAGATTCAGTTAAACACAAGGACTGAAGAGCCTAACCCATTATCACTTACCGAACGCCAAACGCTTGGACAGATAATGGCTAAGCGTGTCCAGCGGCGAGTGCAGCTTAACCACTGGCGTCTCGTCCAGCAAGCCCAGACTCTCAATGCCATCCACGTCGCCCAGACGTTCGACTAGCTTCTGCTTGAGGTTCTCGTAGAAGATGCTCGTGTCGGACAGACCCAGCAGATGGGTGACTAGCTGTCGCCAGGTGACATCCGGTCCGCTGGGATGGAGCAATGCATTTGGCTCTGGATCGATGAGGCCGAGCAGCTGCATTGGCTTGATCGACTCCGAGAAGCCCTTGTAGCGTATGGTGCCACGCAGCAGGGTATGCACATCCCGGCCCAGTCCATAGAGTGCGCCATATTTGGTAGAGTCCCGATTGGGGAAACCCTCCAGAGCAAAGCCGGGCAAAAAGTCCAGGCTACGCGGATTGGACATTAACTCGCCGCCACCAGAGATCTCCACAATCTGTCCCTGGCTCAAATACTTCGCGGCGGACAACGTGTTGAGCAACACGCCCCTTGGCGACCAGGAGAACTTGTAGCGGAGCGCATTGTTCGAGTGCTCCGGTGCGGGCAGGCCGCCACAGTAGCTGACAAAGGATTCGACAACGCCGCCCTTCTCCTGCACCTCATGGATGCACTCCAGCGCCAGCAGATGATCGATGCCCGGATCCAGGCCCACCTCGTTCATGATGGTCACCCCGTTGGCGCGCGCCTCCTCATGCAGCTCCGAGATCTCGTCGTTCAGATAGCTGGCGGTCACCATGTGCGTCTTCTCCGCCACGCAGTAGCGCGCTATCGTGCCGTGAAGACAGTAGGGCAGCAGAGAGACCACCACATCCGCCTTGCCGCACAGCTCCTGCAGATGTCCGGTGCTCTCGTGCACATCCAAGTAGACGCTGTCAACGCCGGCATATTGCTGGGCCAGACGATCGGCCTCCTCCTTCACCTGCGAGCAGACCGTGATGCTCACGTCCTTCTCCCGGTGCAGCCACTCGACCAGCGGAGCCGAGACCATGCCAGCGCCTAGCACCAACACCGACTTTTGGGACTCGGAACGGCCTTCCATCTTGTGGCGCGAACGATTGCTCTGCGACTCGCGCAACTCCCGTATGTACTGGAAGCCCTCGGTCAGTTCTCCATTGCTGGCGATGATTGCCTAAGAGAATGCCAGACAGAGGTTAAGAGAGAGAGATTGCAAATGTACAGTGAGCAATGAAATAATGTGCATACTTGATAACGCAATGGCTGATAAGGAAAAGCAGCGTATTAGCTGAGCAAATACGCGAGGGAAGTTTGAGTATTTCGTCGATTTGTAAATATTTCATTCCATTACATACAAGACCCAGCTCTTACTCACCGACTGTATGGGATAGGTGAAGCGTTCCTCGTGCAGCGGCTTCTTGGCATCGCTCTTGATGATGTCGTGCACATGGGGCATCAGTAGCTCACCAAACAAGTCCGTTGATTCGCGTGGCAGCTGGGTGGGCATATTATCAATGGAGCAGACCAGCACGCCGGGACCCTTGAAGCTCTTGGTGTCCTTATTGCGATCCGCATCGTATAGGCAGAAGGGCGTGTCGATGGTGGTGCACTCGTTCATGAACTCAATGGATCCGCCGGGATCGGCGGAGATGTCACAAATGGCGAGCATGCGATGCGGCAGGGCTGGGCTGCCTTTGCTCGTGGGTAGCCAAGGTGTATTGGCCGGGCGCAGCAGATTCTTGGCATCCGGGATACTGATCAACTTCGGGCTGCCAACGGCCCAGTAGATGCCATTGACAATAACCGATGCGTATGCAGCGATCTTTTGGCTAAATGTGGAAATATAGCGTTCGGGAAACTCGTCGTACTCCTTGGCATCAAAGCCGCCGCCTTCGCGACGCTCCAAATGATCCGAGCGGCTCACCTCACAGCCGTACAGCTTATTTGTATCTAGATAAGATAGGTAAATCCATTTAGAAATTCCTCTTCTTTCTCTTTCACTCTTGAATACTTACTGCCATGCTCGGCTACCTTGCGCAGCATCTCTGGCGGCACATACTCAATGGGCAGGTCGGAGAACACCTCTTGGGCGCCCTGAGACACGTTGCCGGAGCCGGAGAACACAAAGGTCAATGGTCCAATTGACTTGGGCATCATGCCCAATGAAATCTCGTACCCACAGTCACGCACCGCCTGGCGAGCCATCGAGGAGTTGCGATAGTTGTGGGCGGGTCCGATGTGCATGAATGGTGTATGATGGCCCAGCGCCAGCAGGCGCAATCCAATGCCATGCAGGATGTTGACCATGCCTGCCACACCGGCATACTTACCAAACGCCACCTGGCGGGCGCCGCGCTCATCAATGATGCGCTCATAGTCAATGAGACGGATTTTCTACGAAGCACGAGTTGCAAAGAGAATTGAGAAATAAAAGATGGAATGACTAATGATTTCCCACCTTTTCGAGTATGGCATCGAGCAAAGGCATATTTGACTCCTGCGCCTTGATCGTATGCGAGAAGAAACAATAGGTCTTCCCTGGTATAAGCGCATCGATTGGCACCTGCTTAACGCCGAAAATAACCGAAGCATCGCTTATGTCCTCCTGGATCTGAGCTCCAGCTTGATTATAGGCCTATATTAAAAGAAAAATTAAATAGTTTAAGGAAGGTTTGATATTTGTAAACCTAAGAATTCCAAGAATTCGACTAATCTAATCGCAAAACTACCCAAATATTTTTCGAACTCTATGCTCATAATTTTTCCAATTATTATTTCCGCTTATCCGTAATCTAGCTAACTGCTATCAAATCATAATAATTTGATAGTCAACATAGCACGCGACATTAAAAGATTAATAAGCCAGCTAATTGTTATATGTAGACTATACAAATGAACGCTAATAATATACCCTGTAAACAGTGAAATATTTAATGTAAAATTAAATTGTATTTTTGAAAATTACATATGAATACATAATATTATATGTATATATCTATATGTTTCGATACGTACGAATAAATTTGTATTCAAAACTATTTTTTTATATTTTTTATTTGATTTATCTTAACTTCAAGCTATGTTTTATAAGAAATTTTATTAAAAAATAATTGTGAAAAATCAATATTATTTATTATAATTATATTGGTATTTAATTATATTTATATTCATATACATATATTGTATTTCCCCAAAATAGGTGTATGTGTGAGGTTTCAATTAAAAATTAATTTGAATTTTTTATTTATTATTTGTACGATATGTTAAATATAAAAATATATATATATTTTTTTTATGTATTTCTTTTATGTATAAATATTTTATTATTATTATATATTATATTTTTTTTTTTTTCAGTTTTCAATAAATCTATAAATAAATGTTTTTCCATCAATAAAAACAACGTAAATCAATTTTCAAAAGCTACCTCATCTATAAATAACTGTAGTGCAAATAAGCTAATGTCCTTGGCAACTAATCTGATTTCGATCTCGCATAACAGCGCGCATTGTATTATCAAGCTATTATTGTTTTGAAAATGCCTATCAAATAAATATTGTTTTTCGTAAAGTTCAGTAATATATATTATCTGGGAAAAAAGAGGTTGACTCAAAACACATTCCCAGCGAGATAACATGAAATGATTCTACATTTGCGGCGCTTGACTGCTGCCAAGGCCAACGATTGCCAAATTTAGAGCTTATCTGCCAAAAACTTTTATGATGCACTCCACATGGTGGGCATACATCATGCGACTCTGTAACTAAGCTCACATATAGCATGCTGATTAGGCCCAATTATAATTTTAAGTGCATATATTTGATTTGTATATATGATAATTCAGGGCTCACCTGCATGGGATAGGCGCGTCGATTGGAGGGCTGGACAATGACTTTGACGCCCTGTTTGACCAGCTTCTGGACATGGGTGGGCCCGAATGGAGCGCGACGCTCCCATACGGATTGATCCTCGCGACGTATGGCAATCACATGACCATGCTATACACAAAATATATATATTTATAACTCATCAACGGATGCTGGACGGGATTCGACGTCCACTTACATGACGCTGTCTGGTGAGCGCAGGCGCGATCGTTGCACGCAATTGTAGAAAACGTGACATATTCCGTCCGTCACTTGTCTATCAAAGTAAAGAGTTTGCACTCTGTATATATATGTGTGGATTAATTATGATGATCCGAAATACTGATGCCGCTGCAAGATCCGTCAGCACTGAGCACTCGATGCGTTCTAAAAACCGTATAAGCGAGAAGTCGACGCGCCTCTATCAGCAGCACGAGCGAACCGACCGACAAACGGACGGACATCTGCTGGGCGATAAGCCGGACGCACACAAGGCATAATGGAGCGCCTCTGGGCAGCGTGTAAACCTAATAAAATAATAACAAGAGGCGTGTTAAGAGCTCGGTCTCTTTACCATGCGTACTATATGATTAGTGAAAGTGTTTCGAGACTGAAAATTTTCCATTCACTTATTTTTCCATTCATGAAAAGTAAAGTTTTCCGATTTGAGATAAGCGATCGACAGAGTTGGTGTTTAAAGCATTTCCGTATATATATATACATATATAGGTTTTTTATTATTATGAAATAGTATTATAATTGTAATTCATCGATTTCATAGTTTCAGTTGCCATTTAGCTAGTTTCGTAGCACTCACATCAAAAACAAATTTTATTTCTTAACGCTATAAAAAACACTAAGGCTATATCATGGGGCATAAAGTGGGGGGCTGGCTGCTGGGCGGAATACGCTGGGTCAAGCCCATTTTGCGCTTCGCATGCACACGCAGACATATTATAAATATACATACATATATATAGTTCATTACGTAGCTAGAAAAACAGATATTGCAAAAGTTCAGGTATGCATAAATTATAACATTTATAAATGTGTTGGGAAAATTATGGGGAGTAGGGTGACAAAAGAAAATATTGGAAAGAAATATCCAAGAGGCCACATATAATAGATTCACGTTCAAATTTACAACGCCGGCGCCTCGGGCAACAGCGACGTGAAGAACGTTATGACAAAGGTGCGCACAATAGAAATCACAGAGGTATTGGCATTCGCAGGCTCAACGACAACGGCTTCAGCGGCAGCTGCAGCGGCATCCGTGGCTTGATCCCCACCAGCAGCAGCACTGGCTGCTGGCTGCGCAGCATCATTTTGTCCAGCGGCGGGTGCAGCTGGCGCTGGTGCTGCATTCGGTTGATCAGCGGCGGCAGCCGCAGCATCAGCTGCCTGTGGATTATTGTCTTGCTCAACGGCAGCGTCCATCATTCGTTGAATTTGTTGCACAGCCGCAAAGGCGGCATCATTATTGCCAGCGTTGTTGTTTCGATTGATGTTGTTGTTGTTCCGTTCACGACGACGCCGCAGCACCCCAATGTGATAGCTATAAAAGTACAAGTCAATTAGTAAATAATCTCAGATTGCTTATCAAACCACATTTGTACTCACAGATAAATCACGCTTGCAATGAACACCACCATCAAACAGCGCATGGGCGACGAATTGAAATACAAAACTGTTACAAAAATGGCCAACCGAGTAAAGCTAAAGAAACTATCTAGCCAATCGCGCACCTCCGGCTCCTCCTGTATATTGGGGAAATTGGGACCATCGACTGGCTGTGGGGCTGCCCGTCGTGCAGCTGCCTCCTCATTGGGCTGTCCAGCTCCAGTGCCCGCTGCCACCGGCACCGGTTGATGTGCCACAAGCGGCACACCCATATTGTTATGAAACCCTGGCATAGTTTGCATAAACGGTGGCAGTGCTCCCGGTGAAATGACGCTGCCTGTGCTACTGGTGCTGCAATAAAACCAATCGATAAATTCGTACTCTAAATTTGTGTCAAACGACAGACAAATGTCGTGTCATAACATTTCTGATATTTCCTAGTCTTGCAAAAGTATTAGAGAATTTGAATTCCAATTTGATGATACATCATTGATATTGATATTATACTACATACATATATATATATACTATATGAATACAAGCATGTCGTGTCTATAGACATGTTACAAATAGAATAGCAATCGTTGCAATTATCTGAACTCTGATTTGTGGTATATTGTATTAGACCCTCTATTAATTATAATCGATTGTAATTGTATTGAATCAGCCTATATTAGGAGTAATAAAAGTTATATTCTAGTATTACATATTCTCAAATTCCAACAAAAAGTCAAAAGATACTAGCATCAATGAATATTATAATTGACCTCAAGATGAAAATATATATAAATATAGTATATAAAATTAATATACCTGATTAACAGATACTAGAACCAGTTAATAATGTAATAAGCCTGAGTGTATATAATAAATACATTTTTTATAGATCTGATAATTCTAACAACTTTATCTTACATTTCCTCAAAATATTTCAATTGAATCTAAATTCGATCTTTCACAGGCAATGCTTGTCTTTCAAATTTGGATTCCTAACTCACCGTTGCATCGTTTGTTGCATGTACATGGCATACCACTGCTGGACCCAGGCATTATAAAGCAGCGCCTGCTGCTGCTGGAAAGCCAAATGTGGATTTGGGACTGTCGATGTCGATGTCGATGACGGCGTGGACGCTGCTCCTGCTCCCAGAGCCGCTGCAGCTGCCGATGTCGATGCATGCTGACCCATGGCCATTTGATAAGCCTGATTATGTAATTGGAACCAGAGATTCGGATCTTGTGTCTGCTGTAGATTAGGTTGCTGATAAGGATGCTGGGTGGCAGCAGCAGCAGCAGCAGCGACAGCGGCTGCCACATGACGCTGTCTTAGCTCATTGCCGTTATTTGGATTGTTGGTCGTGTCCACGCGTGCCGTGCTCGTAGCAGCCTTTGGAGGCGTGGTCGTCTTATATGGCGCCTTGACAGCTGCATTTTTGTTAGCGCACACCAAATGAAAGATATGATGCTGCTGGTAGACATCCTTGTAGCTGCGAATGACCTCGGATAGCTTCTGTGCATCGTCCAGCAGTTTGCCCGAATAGATGAGCTTTTGGTCATTAATTTCCTGCAAGAAAAGGAAGTAGATTAGAATCAAGATCAATTGCCACTTAAGAAAAGAATTTGTTTATAAATTCTATGATAGAAATTAATATAATATATACTAGGTATACAACGAACGTTTTTATATTATTTAACTTAAAGCATTATTATCAGTGTGAAATAACCTTCACTTGTCTATCTTTATTCGCCAAAGAAACTGAATGCTTCAACTTAATAATCACGTTTGATAACGATGTGTTTTCTGAATCTAGGATGTACTTAATGCTATCAGTTTATTTACTTTCTAAAAAAAAAAATTATGAAATATCTAGAAACTTCAGAATTTCATATGATTTGTTAATGTTTGACTTAACCCAAAGCTGTTTCTCTAATGCCAAAAGTTTAGCTTTTAAGAGCACCAAACAGTATAATATATGTAGATATATGTATACAAGAGAGCGACCCAGTTTTGCTTGACATTGACCTTGTTTGTGCTGATAAATAAAAGACTAACCTCGCGATATGAATTTATAAGATTAATTTCTTTTAGAAAATTAATTATTTTTTATGACTGTATATCTATAATAATGATTTTCTTTGCTTCTAATATTCATTTATACTTAAACTAAAAATATAACTTATATTTACAAGACCTTTGTACATCGAGAAACTGTAAGCCTGATGCCGAATATAGCTGATCAAGAAATTTGTTTGTCAATTCTGATTTGCAAGAAATTTACACTAATTTGCATAAACCGTAGACTTGTCTTAAGCAGTATAGTTATAAATAAAATAGATTCATAAATCTATATATATGTGGATATACCTATATATTTGAGAATATTTGCTTAAGCCGAAGCAATCATATACATATATATACGCAAATTTACACGACATTATTAACTTATCTTCGCTTTATAAATAAAACTATCTTATACAAATTTGCAAGCGAAATAAATGCAACACAACAAATAATAATATTTCGTATACAGCTGTCGCTATATATTGCCATTAGACATAGTTTATCAAGTCTTCTATATTATATGCAAATGTATATATAGACAATATATACTATATAAGGTATAGTATATATAGTTTATCAAGTCGTGCTTGGCAATTAAAGAAAATTTGAATGACGTGTACTTTTGTGAAGGTAATTGAGACGCAACTGACACAAAAAGAGCGAACAGAAATTTTGTCGCTCGTGCACAAGATAAACAATAACAAATAACAAAAGATTTGCCAGCGCGACTCAGCCAGCTGATAAGATAGACCTAGTATATAAAGCTGACGTCAATGTTTATAATAGATGTATATAGATATGCACATATATATACACATACATACATATGTACACCCATACATATATACTTATAAGTTATGTGTGTTTGTATTTGTGCACATACCGGCTTGCCGGGATACACCAGGGATAGCTGCTTCTTGAGTCTCTGCACAGTCCAGCACAAATCACTCTCAATATTCACATCGTCGTATTGCTGATTCGACGATTTAATCAAGAGCCTAATACCGCTGGCTGTGACGGCGGCGGCAGCGGCAGCAGCAACTGGTTCATTTGTTTTGTCTCGGGCAGCATCGTAGCCAGCGGCCGTAGTGGCCGCTGGTGACGGCGACGGCGTGGCTGTGCCTGTGGTATCATCCATAGTTGCTTAACCCTCCTCACCCTTCCGGGTCACTTTCTGCGTCGTTACTAATTGCTAGACACGAACCACTCGATATGAAATGGAGCAACAAGCGACAAGTGTTATTTTTTTCTCCGTTATTTTATTGTGAGCTCGTGATTCGTCAGCGTTGGGCAGCAGCTGGGCGGCAGTTGGGGCAGTTGGGGTATGCAGTTAGTGAGTGCAGGGGCGGGCGCACCGTATTTTCCTATATTCGTTTGTATGTGTTTGTGTATTGTGTAGACTTCCACGGTCACTTCGTTTGACTCTCTCCCCGCTGTACGATTTTCTTTCAACAACAAATTTAGCTAATAACAAATATTGATTGATGTTCTACGAAAAACGTAATAGTTGCTGTGTTTCGTCGTGCGGCGCCTTACACTGAATTGAGAACTGTTGATTATGAAACGTATTTCCGAGCAGAGCCGAGCTGAGCAAAATAAATAATCAAAGTTCCTTCGTCTACAGCAACACTTGTTTTAATACGCACCCAGGGTTGCTTTGACAGCGTTGGCGATGCCACTCTTGACCAAATGACGTGTATTTAATACAAACGAATACAATATTGTCTGAACTAAAATTTTAGATAAACATATATTTATAGCTGATAAAAAACATATCTGTTTCAAATTCCAGCTTAGAACACATACAAAATCAGAGAGTAATACAAAAATAGTGGCAAATTTAGTACATTATAACAAATGAATGATGTGGCAGCACTGCAAACAAATATATTTTATATTGTCAAAACCTATTTATTACATTGAAATTAGTACATGCGTACATATATCCTAAAAGGTGACTAGTTCAAGTATTTAGTGACAGTTATCGGAGCACCCCATGGAAAACAAGTCTGCAGTTTCAGCGCTTCAAGAGTATTGTGCCCAGGCAAAAACTGGGAGTCCCGTTTATGATTATATTGACGGAGAAGACGGCGGTTACGTCTGTAAAGTAGCGCTCATGGATGTTGAAGCCTTTGGCAATGGTAAACGCTTAGGCAAATTCTTAAGTTCTTTATCTTCATATTGGAATATTATCCTTTGCAGGCCGATCAAAGCGGGATGCCAAACACTTGGCCGCCGCCAATATAATGCGTAAATTACGCAAAATTCCTGGCTTAAGTCACTTGGGTACTGATGGCACAGATAATGGTGAAGATAACTTAAATATCTCCAGTGTGGCCGATGAGCTGACAAATATGAATCGCGACATGCTGAAGGAGCTACGCGATTATTGTGTCCGTCATGATATGCCGTTGCCTGTTATCGAAATCGTCCAGCAAAGCGGATCTCCAAATGCTCCAGAATTTGTGGCCTGCTGCTCGGTGGCGTCCATCAAACGTTACGGCAAGTCTGATAAAAAGAAGGATGCACGCCAGCGTGCGGCCATTGAAATGCTTTGCGTTATATCAAACGATTTGGATGAAGTAACATCAGATAATCAAGTGGTCTCCACCAAGAAGCCTAACATCACTGATCTGGATAGCAGCCAAGAGGATGCAGAGAATGAGCGGCGGCGCAAATTCAAAACATATCGGGAGTTAACCGATGCCGGCGGCGATGAGAATTTTTCCGTCAAGCTCTGCGATCGTCACAATTACTTTAAGTCCTATTATCCACACTTAAAAGAGGCCGCATTTAAGGAGATCAACTCTGATAGCTATATTTCCAGCAAAGATAAATTGATGGCCGTGCTCGAAGCACTTAAACTTAAGCCCCGCATCACCACCCTGCAGGCCAAGTCGTGGGAACCTTTGCTACAGATCGAATTGAATTGCGAATACGATTGCGTGTTTGTGGGGCTGGAGAGCAAGATCTATGAGGAATTTATAGAATATTTTCGTATTATGCTGGTCTAGACTGAAAAAGAGAGAACGAGTTCCAAAAAAGGCGTTGTTTCTGTTTATATATATTTAACATATATTTCAACTAATACTTAAAAACTAATTAAACGTGTTATTTACAGTAAACACTTGAAATAATGCACATGATTATATATGTATGTATATAAATAAATATATGCATAGTTGTAAATTAATATCTATGCTTATATACTTTGTACATTTTGTAAGAAAAATACAATACATATATATGTTCTTCGATTATAAAAGCGATAGTTCTTTTAAGGTCGTCGTGTACAATTTCTTTGTTCTTTGTTAACGTTGCACAACATTTTGGCCCAGGAAATGAAGCCGTAGTTTTTTATATTTCAAAACCCATAATATATAACTAATTAGTTGAACTTTGTTCAGCAAATATGAAATTACTGATTTTTAAATTCTGGCTACTTCTTCAACATGTAAATGAATAAAGAAAAAAATATTCACAAATTCTGAGAATGCCAAACTATTAGTTACCCTGCACTCAAAGTGTTGATATATTCATAAAAAAATATTACTATTTTTCTGGACAATTTTAAGAGCTTGTTCGAACTAATATAAAGTATTGCAAATAAAGTGTGTTTAGCTTTCAGTATTTGAAATTATTGTTGTATTAACATATTTAAACAAATAATATTAAACCCAATGCGCTTTTCTCAAATAACACTATGGTTCATTGCGCGATTCTGAAGTTCAAACTAAACTTTAATGTATGTATATCGAAATCTAAATCTATGTATAAACGTATATATATGCGCAGAGCCTAAACAAAGTAAATTGCGGGATTCTGAAATTCCAACTCAACTTTAATGACTAAATTTATATACATAACTGTTCATCTCTAGAGATTGAAGATATTTAGTAATCGGTTTCACAAATTCACATGCGGATTCGTTCCTCTTGCAACCAAATGTTGTATAGAAAAAAGAGATAATAGAAAAAACAACAACCAAGCCCAAGCCAAGCTGCTGAGTTATGTGGGTCTCGAATGTGTAAATTTTACTATTAATACTAAAAAATTTGTTTTACAAAATAGGTGCTAACAATAACAATTGCAGCAGCTGCTGCAGTTACCTGAGGCTATGCCATTTAGTAGCTAATCTTCTTGCGCAGCTTCAGATGCTGCTGTTGCTCACGCTCCGTGGTCAGGCGACTGGATACACGCGGGTGATGAGGATGATGCTGCTGCCAGGGCAACGTTGGCGGCTGCGTCGGTGTCGGTATGCCAGAGTTGGAGGCCGAGGTTGAGGCTGATGAACCTGATTCAGCAAAGATTCGACGCGACAGCCTGAAACTGCCACCTCCAAGGCTGGCCGTCGGTGTTCCGCTGTTGCTGTTGTATTTGCTGCTGCTGCCGCTATTGTTATTATTATTATTACTATTCAGATTTTGATTATTATTAGTATTATTGTTGTTGCTGTTGGTGTTATTGTTGCTTTTACTCATTGTTGAAGCGGCTGCTGCTGCTGCTGCTGCCGCTGCTGCTGTTGCTGCAGCAGCTGCAGCTGCAACACTCGTCTTGCGCAGCAATTTTGTATTATACTCATCGCATTTGTCCTTCTCGATGCGTGTGGAGCTAAGCGAACGCTTATTCCGTTTGCTGCCACCCAAGTGCTGCTGCTGCTGCTGCTGCTGCTGATCTTTGCTGTTGGCTGGCTGCTCGTCGCTGGTACGTCCATTGCCACTGTTCATGCTGGCCAACATGCTAAGACGGCTTGTGTCTGGGGGAGGTGTAGAAGAATGCGAATTACTCAAATTGCTGTTGCTGTTGTTGTTGCTATTGTTGTTGTTGTTGTTGTTGTTCAAGTTGGGTATCTTTGACTTGGCTGTTGTTGTAGTTGTTGCTATTGTTGTTGTTGTAGCTGTTGCTGCTGCATTTGCAGTCGTTGTGTTGTTGCAGGCAGCAGCTGGCAGCGGATTAGAGTTAAGATCAAGCGTAGCGGATGACGAACGCATCGCTACAGTGTAGCAACCACTGGTGATGCCGCTGCCACATGCAGCAGTGACCAATGTCGTCGCTGGTATCGCGGAGACATCACGATAATAGCGAGCGGTTGCCATTGTGCAAGCTTGAGTCGTCTGCTCTTCGGTTGCGCCGCAAACCACTTGCCCCGGCCGTTGATAGCGTATGCGTGAGCGACCCCTAAGCGTCATATGATGAAGCGAGCTGCGGGACAAGCTGCTGCGTACCGGCGGTATGGTTGCCGAGCTGCCAGCCCCACCGACACCACCAACACCACCCACACCACCGACACCGATGGGTATCTTACTTTCATTGATCGTTGCATAGGATTTCAATTGCTTATCGAGCACAGCAGCGGGCTGTTGTTCCTGTTGTTCCGCATTGCGTAGATGCTTCAATTCCATTCTGTCATTTGTGGACGGAGCAGGTGGGGGGGGGGGGGGGGGGGGGGGGGGGAGAAGGTCGGGGAATAAAGGGGAACGAAAGATTGTGAGCCCACAGCCAAGCACGAGAGACAATAGAGAAAGATTCACTTGTTGTAGAAGATACGCATCATAAGCTTAATCAGTACGCAGGAGCCAAAAAACAGTATACAAAATATGCCAAGGAGCAACAAAAACATAATCGCCAAACGTTAAACAAAAACGAAAAAAAAAATATATGTATTTATGTTCGTATAACCAAAAAATTATCGCAAGCTCAATCAATTTTGATTTCGATTTGTTTTTTTATTTTGTAAATTTTTGCATGCACAAACAAATTGTAAGACTAATTAATTGAAGGAAAGAATAATAAACAACAAATGTAAGTACATACTCAAAAATTCAATAAATCAAACATAAAAGAGAATTATTGGTAAAATTAGTGTTTGTTAACGAATTTATTAACTAGCCGGCCGAGCGAAAGCTATCGATAACAATTTATCGAAAACAAGTTCACTCTCACACCAGCTTCGTGTATGTGTGCAATAATAACGGTTAGCGAATGGGGCATACAATTAAAACTATACTAAAAAAAAACTTATATACAATCTTGGCAAAAGGTGCAAAGCGAACGAGGACACCAAAAAACGAGACGGGATTAAAAAATGCTACAAAAAATACTAGACGAGAATACAAAAAGCCGCTGCACAGTTCGAGCTTCAAAATCAAAAGTATGTATCGGTGTGTGTGTGTGTGTGTGTGTGTGTGTGTGTGTGTGTGTGTGTGTGTGTGT